GGGGCTTCAGTACATATATATATATATATATATATATATATATATATATATATATATTTTTATATAAATATATATATATATATATATATATATATATATATATATATATATATATATATATATATATATATTTAGTATTTGAATTTTAAAAGTTGCTTAAATTTTGCAAAAGGATATATGATGGCCTCTGGCACATACACCTTGATGACATAATTTTCATTTGAAAAAATAAAAATATTTTATAAATATATCTTTTTAAAAACAAAAGCATACCTCATACAATTTTAATTATTAAAAAGATGTATGTAAAAGGTAAAATACATCATGATTAAAATAAGTATCTAAATATCTAAACACCCACACATACACACACCCACACACACCCACACATATATATATGTATAATATATATATATATATATATATATATATATATATATATATATATATATATATATATATATATATATATATATATATATATATATATATATATATACATAATATATATATATATATATATATATATATATATATATATATATATATATATATATATATATATATAAATATATATATATATATATATATATATATATATATAAATATATATAAAATTAGTATTGCGTACTTTGGTAAGCAATCTGATGTCATACTGAAATAGCCGGTTGCTAGGGGCTTCAGTACATATATATATTTATATATATATATATATATATATATATATATATATATATATATATATATATATTTAGTATTTGAATTTTAAAAGTTGCTTAAATTTTGGAAAAGGATATATGATGGCCTCTGGCACATACACCTTGATGACATAATTTTCATTTAAAAAAATAAAGAAAAATATTTTATAAATAAATCTTTTTAAAAACAAAAGCATACCTCATACAATTTTAAATATTAAAAAGATTATTCTTAAACATATGAAGATAACATATAAAAGTTCTGGTCAAAAAACTGCCCTAAGGCTAGCGTATAAAATGTATGTAAAAGGTAAAATACATCATGATTAAAATAAGTAAAAATTTTTTTTTTTTATTAAAGTTAATTATCATCGAAACTCTTTAACACAATAAAAATAAAAATTTATTTTAAGAAAAGTTGTTGTTGAAAAATATTTTTAAACATTTTATTATTTAAATTAAATAATACAAATTTTTATTTTATTATTGCACCATTTCTTATATAAAACATGAACATCTATCCTGCATACAAATATGTCTTTTTATTTTATTTATCAAACTAAATATTATAAAGATGAGTTAAATGTGAAGAAGGTGCTAATTTATGTCTAACCCCTCCCCACCTACTATTATTAACAATATTTATATAAATATGTTGTTAATAATTCGACCAGAAAATTTGATTTTAATAGTTGTGAGGAAGCAATTTCTTTTAAACTTTCAGAACTTAACTTTACAAAAACTCAAGTTATTGACAGTTCGAATAAAATATTATTTTTAACTATTAAAATTAAGCTAAGGTTAAATTAAGAAAAATTAAATTTAGCTAATTGTCTGTTCTATTTACCTGACACAGTCTTATTATCAATTTCATTTGATTCTTGTTTTTATAATTAATAAATATTTATACACTATATTATAGTTTAATACTTTATAATATAATAATATAATTATGAAAGCTATATTTATAGCTTTAATACTTGCACATGCCTTACAGATTTTTAAATTTTTTTAAATTTAATTCACCTCCTCAAGGCAGAGGAGGCTACTTATTTGTGGTTATAACCCTTTCTCAACTCTATAACTCCGAAACACAAACCTTGACAAACAAGGCCGCTGCGCGGAGAAATGAGTTGAGCGCGGTACCACTAGGGACGTGGTGGGAATGGAACTCGGAACCACTCGTTTATGAAGCGAGCGCTCTACCACTACACCACTACTGCATATACCACAAATAATCTACATATACATAGGTATATCATGTGAACACAGCCGTTTGCAAGTTTTATAATAATTCTGAAAAAATTTCAAAAACAAAAAACAAAACAAACAAAATAAAAAGAGATTGAAATAGAAAAAAAAAAAAAACAAATTAATAATTTAAATAACTTGTGTACTGTTTTTATTTTTGTTTCCTTAGAGTTACATTCAGCAACAAAATTAGATAAGGCGAAGCAAAAAAAAAAAAAAAACAGTTTGAAGTCTGCAATAAAAATAATGATTTTCCTTTACTTAATTTTTTTTAAGAGGATAGCCAAAATACAAGTTGCAATGTGTTTGTAAAATTTATTTGTATAATTTTAATGTAACAACAAGGGTTGAATTAAGCTAATGCAAAACGCAAAATTTGGAAAAATATCTAGTATTCAAAATTTTAGTTTATACAAAACTGTGTTCCTTGTTTTTAAGGGGTGAATCAACTTAAATTTGTTAGCAAAAAAAATAAAAAATTAAACAATAAACTTACGATTACAAAAGTAATAACACTCTAGTCACTAACTGCATTATAAAAGTAATAACACTATAATAGTGTTATTACTTTTATAACGCACTTATAACTTTTAAAATTTATTCTTTGTTCAAGCAACATGAGAATTCCCAAATTTTAATTGAAGTAGAAAATTATCTAGAAGAATAAATTGGATGTTCAAATAATATTAAAACTAAAGTAACTTATAAAATTGTGACAAACAACTTTTTGAAAACGTATCGTAGTAAAAGTTTAGTATTATGAAAAATGTTACTAATGGACCATAAAAACGCGCGTTAATTTTAAAATTAACCAATAAAAATTTTTCATTCGTTGATTTTAAAATTAACGCGCGTTTTTACGTGACGTTTTTCATAATGCTATTCTTT